AGGAGCAGAGAGGCTGACGTTTCGGGCCTAGACCCTTCATCAGAAAAATAAAAAAACCCACCCATTCTTTGACAGTCAACAGCATTGCCATCATGGAAACCCACCAGCAATGTCCTGGGATTACCATTGACCAGAAATATAACTGGACTAGACATATAAATACTCCAGTTACTGCAGCAGGTTAATGGCCAGGAATTCTGGAGTGTGTAATTCATTTGCGGAGTTCCCACAGCCTGCCCACCATCTACAAGGCACAAGTTAGGAGTGTGATGTCTGGATTGGATAATTGCCTGAACCATTCCTGCTCCATTAACATTTAAGAGACTTTGACACCACCCAAGGAAAAGCGATGGCCTAGTGGTATTATTGCTGGACTGTTAATCCAGAGATCCAGGTAACGTTCTGGGGACTCGGGCTTGAATCCTGCCACGGCAAATGGTGGAATTTGATTTCAATAAAAATCTGGGACTAAGAGTCTAATGATGAACATGAAACCATTGTTGATTGGTAGTAAAAATGCCCTTAAGGGAAGGAAACTGCCATCCTTACCTGACCAGGCATGTGACTCCAGACCCATAGCGATGTGGTGGGCCCTTAACTGCCCTCTGGGTAATTAGGGATGGGCCATAAATGCTGGCCTAGCCAACAACGCCCTCATCCCTTAAATGAATTCTGAAAAAAATAGGTTTGATCAGCACTCCATTACACACCTTAGATCATAGAATCCCTACAGTGTGGAAACAGGCCCTTGGGCCCAACAAGTCCACACAGACTCTCAGACCATCCCACCCCGACCCATCCCCCTATAACCCACACATCCCTGAACACTATGGGTAATTTAGCATGTCCAATCCACCTGGCCTGCATATCTTTGGACTGTGGGAGGAAACCAGAGCACACCCACACAGACACGGAGAGAATGTGCAAACTCCACACAGACAGTGGCCCAAGGGTGGAATCGAACCCGGGTGTCTGGCGCTGTGAGGCAGCAGTGCTAACCACTGAGCCACCGTGCCGCCCCGCCACTTCCTCTGGTGCTGACTCCCATTGGCCCTAACAAACTGGTAACCTCTAACATTGAGAAGGACAAGGGCAGGAATTGCATGGGAACATCTCCACTTGCCAGTTACCCTCCAAGTCAAACACCATCCTGACTTGGAAATACATGCATTTCCTCACTGTGTTTAGGGCAAAATCCTGGAACTGGCTCCCTAACTGCATTGCGGCGAGCCAAACAGATAGCCAGCCACCAATTTCACAAGGGCAACTAGAGATAGACAATAAATGTTGACAATAACACTCACATCCGGTGAAAAATAAATAATAAATCGCGTGTGGGGTGGGGAAGAGGGGAGAGATAGAAGGAGGTAAAAAGATGTTTAACCCAGAGCAACAGTCATACTCAAGGATCCTGAAAATTCTCGGTATTAAACCCATTTATTACAAACAACTATCTTTAAAATGGGAGTTCAAAAATCAGGATGAACCTGAAGACGCACCTTCTTCTCGATCCTGATTTAATATTTACAAAATGTAGTTCTGTCAAGTCTAGATCAGCAGGATCCCTGCTACCCCCACCCCCAACAACCTGGGAGCGTTTGTATTTAACAGAAAGCGACAGAATTAATTCCTCTGGCGTGTACATTTAGTACTGTTTGCTACCTCATCGTGACAATTCCAACCTTTCTTTTCAAATCAACTGCTTTTCGGGAACAAATAACAACTCGCACCAAACATTCGCCTCGGCCAGACCGTTGCCACGACAACGGGGAGAAACAAACTTCACTGACAACAACTGAGATCAAGCTCATCTTGAAGGCAAATTTTTAAAGCGTTTCAAAGAAAACGTTTTCAAAATACTTACAAACGTCAGTCAAGGCAAAGGCTCGGTTGTTTTGGTGGTGAATATTGTAGAGGATCCTCTCTGCGTGAGTCCTGGATTTTGGACTCACCTGCAGGGTGCGAGCAAGCCAAGGCCCACTGCTCCAGGCTTCAGGACTACAGTGTCCAACATGCAGTGCAACAGGAGCCTTGCAGCCACTCAGTCTCTGTGATTGGCCAGTCTAAAGTGTCCAGCCTGTCACTTGGCAAAGAGCAAAAAAAATACAAACGCTCCTTCCAAGCAAAATAAACACCAAGTGTGTCCTTCTGTCTGCTCTGTACACCAAATTTCTCTGCCCACATTGCAGCCCCCTCTCCACGTCGGGTGGCGAGAGAACCAAGTGTACGTTTGAGTTTTCAGGAATCTCTCCCGTCAGCCCACAAGCCTGACTGGCCAGCTGCCCCGTCATTTTAATTCACTGCCCCATTCCCACTTTCAGTATCCCCATCCTCAGCCTCCAAGTATGGTTCCAATGTAGCTCAGTGGAGCAACAGCATATTATCTTCAGATTGTGCACTTTACAACTATACGAGCAGACGAATGAGGATCAGGAGTATACCTTTCAGCCCATTGAGCTGCTCCACCATTCAATAACATCATGGCTGATCTGAATACTTCACCTATCCCTGATAAACTTTCATCCTTTTTTTTAAATCAAAAATCCATTTACCTTCCACCTAAAAATATTCAAAGACTCTGCTTCCACCCACATTTTAAAGAAGAGTTCTCAATCCTTTGCAAGACAAAAGTCTCCTCATCTTTGTCTTAAATGGGCTTACTTTTCAACAGTGACTCCCTGGTTCCAGTTTCTCCCATGGGAGGAAACAACCTTTCCACATCTGCCCTGTTATCCAGAACCAGCATTAAGTTCAACAGTTTGACGTCACATCTGTCCCCCTTTCTTTAACGATCTGAAGGAATTGAGGGCATTGTTGTTAAGTATCCAGATGACACAAAGCTAGATGGAGGGACAAGTAGTGTTGATGAAGCAGAGATGCTGCAGAAGGACTGAGACAAGAAAGAAGAGTGGGTCAAGAAATGGCAGATGGAATGCAACATGGGAAAGTGCAAGGTTATACACTTTGGTACAAATAGGAGTGTTGATTATTTTCTGAATGGAAAATGGCTTTGGAAAACTGATGCACAAAGGAGTTAGAGAAGTCCTAGTTCAGGATTCTTTTAACATTAAAATGCAGTTGAGGGTAGGAAGGCAAATGCAATGTTAGCATTCATATCAAGAAGGCTAGAATACAAGAGCAGAGATTGAATGCTGAGGCTGTATAAGATTCTAGTCAGACCATATTTGGAATATCGTGAGCAGTTTTGGACCCAGTATCTGAGGGAAGGATGTGTTGGTATTGGAGGAGGGCCAGACAAGGTTTACTGGAATGATCCCAGGGATGAAAAGCTTGTCACATAAGGAGTTGAAGACTCCGAGTCGGTACTCCAGTGGGAGTTTAGAGGATGAGGGGTATCTGATTGAAACTTACAGAATATTGAGAGGCCTGAATAAAGCCGACATATAGATGTTTCAACTAGTACGGAAGACTAAGACTCAAGGGCACAGCCTCAAAGTAAAGGCATCACCCCTCAGAATTGAGATGAGGAATTTCTTCAGCCAAGGGGTGGTTACTCTGTGGAACTCATTGCTATAGAACGATGTGTAGGCCAAGTCATTGAGTGTATTTAAGACAGAAATAGATAGGTTTGTGATTAATAAGGGGATCAAAGGGTGGCAGGATAACACAGGACAATGGGGTTGAGATATCAGCCATGATCAAATGTTGGAGCAGACTTGATGGGCTGAATTGCATAATTCTGTTCCTATACCTTATGGCCTTTATTTTGGGACAAGAGCTGGTGATGATGATTCTGCTATTCACATTGACATCAGCTCCAGACTCATCTTTTGTTTTCTATTTCCATTATTATCTCTTTTTGCTTTGCAACATTATCCCTATTATAATTTAATCTCAGCTCCTTACAAACATTCACAAAATATTCCCTTTGGTTTTTCAACCCACCTGCACCACCATTCCCACCCTCTAACCAACCAATCAACCACTTTCCCTGACTATACATGCTTAAAACCCACCGCCATGTTCCAATACTGTGGGTGCACCAACATTGTACGGGTTGCATTATACTTACATTGTTTGCTAGAAGCCTGGCTGAAATCCATCAAGAAAACTTAGGAGAAAGAAATAGGGTTTTTTCTTTTACGCCCAACATTTCTTTAAGCCTCACCATTTATTAACAGTGATGCAGGAATCCCACCAATACACATTTTGGAGATGCTTCAACACCTCAAAGGCAATCAAGAATGGGCAATAACTTCTAGTGACACTGACATCTCGTAAAAGAATAACCAAAAAAGACAGGAATGAAGGTTTCAATGATAGATGAGCAGAGGCAGCCCAGACTCGGACTATATAACAGATGTAGATAAATGCAGTCTAGCAGATGTGTGGAGTGTAGTCAGAAGCTCATTATGTTAGACAAGGGGTCTAACAGTTCAGAGACAATTAACGAGAATTATCATGAGGTAAAGATTGCTCTTGAGGGTGTACATATGAAAATTATTGCATCGTTTTCAGAAGTCACCAAGAGGCCACAGAGAAGTTGGAAATAGAAAGGGGTTCCCAAGGTAGTTGATTGAGGACACTAGAGTGAACAATGCCACAGTAGGTAGCCATTGCAGGTTATTTGCTGAGATAGTAGGACCAGGCGAGTGTAACACATTCAGCTAAATAACAGCAAAGATGGATTTAGAGGAGGATGATGTGGACAGATATGTCAAGGGCTCAGTGACAAGAGATAGTTTACTTTCCCCTTTGGCACATAGGATACAATCTGTGACTTTGATAAGAAGAGCAGGGTCAGACTTGAAGCAAGGAGTTCTGGGAAAGTTGAGCACAGAATAACTACTTTAAAATGGGAACTTAAAAAAGTATAAACTCTACATATCTTTTCTGGGTTTTCTGATGATTTCAGCCTGGTGTCTGGCAAACAAGGCAAATGACTACAACAGTTCAAAAGCAAACAGGCTTTATTTTGTTTTGTAGCATTTTAATTATTCAGTCAGTTAGAATGGCGCTTCAAAGGTTATTCTCCAGCAAATTCTTCAATTCATCCACCCAATCTGGCTCATCAGCTTCTTCAAAGTCTCTGTAACATTAAAAAAAAAGAGACATTCGGCAGTCATTGCAACAGCTGCAAAGTAGAAAAACGTGGCACCTTAATGTTTATTCTGTTCTGGCCTGACCTGGATGATACTGTAGCAATAGACCCAAAACTGAAAGCTGAGGTACTTTGTACTACAGATATTCCTATATACCAATGGCTTCAGGAGTAAGGTAATTCTGGCTGAACAAGTTGTCAGAAACTTAACTGTGCTCTAGGCTTCTAAAATATGCAAATTTAGGCAGTTAAGCTGCAACAATGCATCTAACTCCAAGGTCCCCCAAGCATTATGTCTTACCAACCTACTAGAGAATAGGTATGAAACTAGCTGTAAAATATGAAGTAATACTGATATCGGCAGAATCACAATAGTATTAAATAGTGTGGCTCATAATTTAGTGGGATTGTTTCCAAATTTGTATGAATACCATCAATATAACTGATCAAATTTGTGAAAAATCTCAACCTTCAATGGTGCAGGAATCAATGGGAGGCAGTTTAGAAATTACAAAATGAATTGGACATTTGGATGCTGCAATTCGTGGATTGGAGTCTTTCTGGATAGATTAATGAAAATGAGTTTAATGGCCTTGACATCTAGAACTCCCTTGTAGTCCATGATCTCTTAACGAGAAATAATTGACTGGGTTGAATTGCATATTCAAGCCAAACCAACAGAAGTTCTCCCTGTAATGATTTTTCAGAAGCTTAGATTGGAGTTGCAGTCTCATATATAATGATGGGTTCCTGGTATTGAACAAATATCATAGTCATTGTGATGAGGACAGGCCAATGTGATTGATATACTTTTTAGGACTAATTTCCTCTAAATATGCCACATTTGCACTTGTTTTCTAAGCTGCATGTCTAAGTAACTAAGTGAAGAAGGGTCTAGGCCCGAAACGTCAGCCTTCCTGCTCGGCCTGCTGTGTTCATCCAGCTCTATACCTTGTATATCTCAGATTCTCCAGCTTTTGGACTTACGTGTCTTCATCATCAGATCTGGGTTCCAATCTTTCTGGATCCAATTCGATTGTTTCCATTTCACCATCAACATTATCAGCCTTTCCAGCTGATAGTGGGCCAATGAGATAGGTTCCTGATGCTAAAGAAAAAAAGTTACATTGTTTCAAATGTTAATGGCAAAAGATTAATATCCAAGTTATTGTAAATATAAATTAAACATTAGACAGTCATCCCTACAGACTAAATAATGTAGTCGAGAAAACAACACAGACCTAATTTATCACTAGAAATTTACCTGAATGCCCTGGTCGACCCATTGTCTCCGCCTGCTCCTGCCCCACCGAACTGATCTCCAACTATCGAGACTCCATTTTCTCCCCCTTGGTCCAGGAACTCCCTACCTATGTCCGTGACACCACCCACGCCCTCCACCTCCTCCAGAACTTCCAATTCCCCGGTCCCCAACACCTCATCTTTACCATG